CCCCAAAACCCCAAAACCCCAAAACCCCAAAACCCCAGTAAAAATGAAGTTGGTTGAATTCTATTAGATTTCGGAGATTAATTGAGTTATTATTTTGGAGGGTTCTGAGACTCCTTGCTGCTTTAGGAAGTTCATAGCTTTGTGAGCAAGCATCTGCCATTCGAATTTGGTCTTTGAGCATTGGGATTTAAGGATAGCCAAGGCGATTAGTGTTGCTAGGACCTCTGGAGATGAGTTGGGTATATTTTTCAGTGTTTTTGAGGATAAGAGTGGTTTGAATTGGTCTGGTAAGTCAGTAAATACTCCGAAAATATTTTGGTGTTCTACCAACTGTGTATAATCAAATTTATCGCTTTCAGCTAATGATTTTGTAATAGTTTCCTCTCTTTTTCTTTTTTGATTTTTCATTTCTCCAAGTGATGCTTCCAGAGTACTCATCTTTTTGCAGCATTTCATCTTTGATTTACTTGCGGTTCTAACTTTTGCCCTTGTTCTTGATTTTGTACCTCTTGGCTTTCTCATGTTCACAGCATTTTTGTCAATCAAAGATTTTGAGAAATCAGGAGGATAGTATTTATTGATTAATCTATAGTTTAGAGTGTTAGCCAACTGGTATCACGACTTCATAAAGGATAAAAGTTTTCGGTAAATTTTTATTTTTCTAACACTTAAGAAAATACAAATAATAACTATGCCAAAGTAACAAATTATAAAATTAGGAGTGTCTAAAATTCACTTCGTACTAAAACTTTAACTACCTTAATTTTTGACTTTTAGTGCCAGCTTTGTGCAGGTCTGTCTGTGAGAAAGGAGCCGGGATGACCACAGACTTCATTTCTTCCCCTGATTTAGATTTGGTCTTGATTTTACCGAAGAAAGCAGTGGTTTTGGTTAAAAGAGAGTATTTTAGAGCTAGTTTTGTGGTTTCTGAGTTGATGAGTTCTTGAGATTTTTTGGATTTGTTTTGGGTGTTTTGGAGTGTGAGAAGGTCGATGTATTCTTTAGCGGCGGATTGGAAGGTGGATCTGCCGATTTTAGAGTCTTCTTCGACTGATTTTGGGTCTATTGGGATAATAAAGGTATCCTCTTTTGATGTTAGAGTGTTATAGAAAGTTAGTTTTATGTCGGCTTCAACCAACTTTTTCTGATCGAAAATAACATTTAGATGTAGAGGCTCTTCTTCATAGTAATTTTGGGTAACAGTGTCGGAGAGGAAGTACTTTACTGCAGAGTTGTTCTTTCCCCAATCAATCTTCATCTGGGTGTATGCTGGCTTGGCAGCTTTACGAAGAGTTTTAATAACTTTTGAATTTAGTTTCTGGTCGAATTCTGAGGAATGTTCAGAACATCCTAATCCAGCTGCTGCTCCTTCAAAAATTAATCTTGGAGAAGCTGAATATCCAATTCCAAATGTATGAACTCTGGTATTAAGGTTATTGCTTCTGATCAACTCAATAACATCATCAGTGTTCTCCACTCCCCCATCCGTGAGAAGGAAAAGGTGCCTGGTGTATTCATTTTTGGAGTCTCTCTTTTCATCAAAGATTGCTTTAAGAGGATCGTATATATTTGTTCCTCCCATGTTTGCCTTGAATTCATCCATCGAGTCAAGTAATGTTTTGACGTTGGCTTCCTCAAAATCCGCGCTTTCTTCGAAAAATTTGTAATGGTATCCTGTTCCTCCAAAAGAGACGACATTAAATTTTGAACCGAGAGGGATACTTCTAATGAATAGCTCTAATGATCTTTTAGCAGCTTGAAGTCTTGGGCCTCCCATAGAGGCACTTCTGTCAAGCAGGAAGATGTATTCTCCTTTCGCAATTTCATTAGTCTCGTCCTGTTCTTCTCAAGCAGAACTTTCTTTGCTCTCCTCTTTAGATTCTTCAGCAGGATCAGCTGTCTCTTTAAGCTCTTCGCTCAGTCTAGGGATGAAAGTTATATGAGCAGCAACTTCATTTTTAATTTTCTGATCAGAAAATAAGCTGATGGTTGGGAGCCTAATCCCATCTGTAGAGTAAGATATCATGATGTTTGAATCGAGCTCTGACGTCTTACTGCTCAGCATAGCTTTAGCTACCTTCTTATCCTCACTAAGCTCTGTTTTCATCTGATGGGAGGCTATAACACTGCTGATTTCGTGGAGAGACTGGATCATAAAATTCATTGTAATTTCCCAATTGAATTTTGCACATACTTTTGCATCGCTTTTTGTCATTCTTGCATACTTCCTAGCACCAGGAATAAGTTCATATGGAAAGATGTAAGCGTAGAAGCCATTCTGGAGCGACTCTAGCTTGTGCACAATGTGAACTACTACCTCTATCTCTTGTTGGGGAGGGATATATCCAACATTAATATCAACCAGGTCAAGATTTTCATCTTGTAAGTTTGCTTTTACCGACGTATTTCCGGAGGCAACAGCATCATCGTATTTCTCATCAGCCTGCTTCTTCTTCATAATATCAGTGCGAATGACCTTATCCCCACTCTTGATTGTAAATCCAGATACGAGATATTCTTCATCACGAGGGAATTTGTAAACACATTCGATCGGATTCTTGGTAGTATTTTTGTAAACTTGGATAAAATTGGTAAAAGACATTCCATCTCTAATGCTCACTTCTAAATGAATCTTCTCCAACGGAATGTTGACTTCTTGGTCATATGCAGAGTACAGGTTCGCAATAAAAGGGATAATCCTTTTCCTCCTTCCTAGATGGCAGCGACACCTGTATCTGACAGGGGTTGGCACTCCTGTGGAATAATGTCCGTTTGTATGAATGTTGTACATTTTTAATAAATTATTATTGCCAGTCTATATTTATAGTTTTGCGTGGGGTTTTGGGGTTTTGGGGTTTTGGGGTTTTGGGGTTTTGGGG